TATATGTGTGTGTGTGTGTGTGTGCGTGTGTGTGTGTGTGTGTGGGTGTGCGTTTACGTGTGCGTGTGTGTGCGTGTGTATGTTTGTGTGTGTGTGTACAGGCTAACACATCCGTATTTGTATTAAACCACGCATACGCATTTGATAATAACCTAGTCTCACACCATTTTTCGTTTGCTTTACACCGTGCTTCGAACACGCTGAATTCGAACCAGCAATGCAGACTGCAAATATACTCACATTTCTTGTACATCGTGTGCATCATCCGTGAAAAAAAATTCAATCAGCATGGAGCCATTGGGGTTAGAATATTTGAGGAGTTAGAACCAAGTAATCTCAACTTACCCGAAACTACTCCATGCTTAAAGTATTTAACTCGGTGCTTCGCAACACGCCGTCGTCATGGTAGAAGTCATCGAAAGGGAACGTAATTTCAATTTCATATTATACACACACACCCGTAGTGAATGTGATTTCATACGCAGATGGTTATACCATGATTTTGCGTCGAAGATTGTTGGGTGGACCACTAGACCACTCCTCATACATCACAAGTCAGTGCAGGAAAAAATATAGTTTTGAGGCTTCGTTTTGAACTATATAACATATGTATGTATATCTGTTATTATTTTCAGACATAGAAATAGCATACTGTTATGTACCTCAGCTCCTTCACCTGCTCTATCCAGTCCAGGAGTTGTTCATCGCTTGGAAAGTTCTCTGTTCTCACCATGCGCTTTCTAAACATGCTTCGCTTCTGCAGTGCCACGCGCAAGGCACGGACCTCGAGTGTCTTCTCGGAAAGTCCACTCATGGCTTAGCTGTAGTCCTGATCCTTACTAATACAGTCAACATATATGCAAGTGCGGCACCTTTTCGACACCGGGTAATAACTATAATATACATATCAATATTTGAACCTTTGTCGAAACACGCCAAGTTTTTAGTTTCGTCACAAATATTTGCATATGTAGTAACTAGAGCAAACAGCCAAACACAGGAGGCCGAGCCCGGGGAGGCCAGAGGGGGTTGATAAATTGTACTAAACGCTCTATGCATAATTATGCACCCCCAAAATATTTTTTATAAAATAAATAAAACAAACCATCTTCTACATTCTCATCTAAATAATCCACTGGATTATCGAACCTAACAGACGTGCTCCCAATCACAAATGGTAAAGGTCTTCAAAGGACATAAATAGGTCGAAACTCGAATGATATGGAGACTTTTTAAAAAAATAATAAAAATGGAGTTTTGAACGTCAACGACTCAACGACCAATTTTTTTTTGGTTTTTTATTCCATTTTGTTTTTGATATAAAAAAAGAAAGATTTTTACAAACAAATTGTTTATTTATTCCTGGCCTCCTGGGGGTTGATATTTAAACGACGCCGACGTTTTGTAGGACATGTCGGTCGCGATTTGGTGTCGGCAGGTTCGCTGGTGCCGGTATCGTAGCCAACATACACATATCTGGACGTCATGTCATACATGTCGCGACGACATTTTTCAGGGGTGTATATCGTTGTCGTATACCAACCCAGATTATTATTTTATTCAACTGATAACAAATTTTAAATTTATCGAGAAGGGCCATTGGGTGAGGACTCAGGGACTCAGGGGTACAGTCTCTCACTTTTGACTTTCGTATATTTGTTGGTGTAAATATTTACAAGTGTATATATTTCCCTTTCACCTTAGCTTTACAGTAGCACGCTCATACATAGACTAGTACACACTACAAAGGATACTGATGAGAGACACTTCTAGTGGTGAACGATGTTGTGCGAAAGGATGCACTATAGCGCACCCAGTGGGTGGTGCACACAGGTGTGCTGATTGCGATCGAAGTATACGTGCCTTTTGTGGCGTGCATCTTGGTGAGGGGGTTGGTTCAAATTCAATCGGTTACCGCCTGTCTACTGATAAATGCCAGCCACCGGAGGACAAGTCAGATCAGACAACTACTGAATCAGATACAATGCAGGAAGACGATGTGGCACAAGCCACGCCTAAGTAGGATGCTTTGTCTAATGTGAATGGAGTATCTAGTATGATCATGAATAAGCTCACTGCACGTAAGGAGAAGAAGACATACTCACAGACTGTATTATCTAAAGTAAAGGAAAGAACATTTAAGAGGGTCAATCTAGCAGATAAAAAAGTGGGATACAGCTTTGATAAGTCCTGGAAAGAGAACTATCGTAAGGATTTAGTCAAAGAAGCCTCGCGAGCTGCGTTTGAATCATTCGGTGTGAGTAAGAAAAGTTGAAAACAATACAAAGATTTCCAGAGTAGAAATATTGAAATATAGAGCATTTTTTGAGGGATAATGCGCCCGGAACGGGAATTGCTCCTAGTCTGTTTAAAGGTCAGACCCCGAACCTGACAGTAAGAACCTTAAGAACCTAACCCAGACTTGACCACCTCTTTATATGACCAATTTTTGACCAAAAACGGACATTGGTCATATAAAGAGGTTTGACTGTACGTGAATTGTGGAATTCTGTCAAAACTAGAAATTTTGGAATATACTGGGGTGTGGGGCTAACGTCAAAAAGTTTTTACATTAAACCGTACATAATTTAAAAAAATAACGGTTAACGTTCAACTTTTATATCGTATATACATCACCCGATATGTTTAGGTGCTGTTTCCTAGGTCATATATTATGTCCTAAAATTGCGCAAATATTAGTTGTATTGTTGTAACACTTTGGTTGATCATAAAGACACGTAGATGAAAACAAACACAATGGATCAGCATATTGCTCAGAACTCGAATACCCAAGACACATTCGATGGAATATTGCAGATTTTTTTTTAGATATGGACAATAAATCGTAAAACGTACCTACACAGATAGCTTGACTGGAGTTTTTAATCAGATGACCTCCATCAGGGGAATCAAATAAAATGAACATTGACGCTCCTTCTGACCTCGATACCACAACTTCAGACTTGAGCCTCGCAATAATTAAATCCTCAACTTGAGTAGTTGTGACCGACTGTTGAAGACGCTTTTAAATACAGACAGCGAAGCTATCCGGCTTTTCGACAAACTGTCCGTAACCTCCTTCTGTGTCGCTATGACATCCGACAGAGACCTGTCAATAAAATCACGTATATAATCATGAACGATTGTCTACCAGTATCGCGGCCAGTTTAATACCCAATAGGGTAAGTCCACTTCGAAACAATCATTCCAGCTCTGCCCTGTGCACATTTATTCAAGTGTACAACAAGGACTGCGAACAATGAAGTATATCTCAGGTTTACTGGCTTTGTGTAGATCAACACGGCCGAGATGAGCATCCTCGTGTAGACCCGGCAATCAAAAATCCAACAATTCACGATAAGAATTAAGTTTACAGTGCTACATAAACGCGCTTCTATGCCATCCTATTACACATGTACTGAGCTCTATATGATATGACCAGTTATGTGATATAACACGTGGAAGTCACATAGATAAATATACATGTCGCGATAGCACAACCGACATTACATAGATACAAGAAACAACACATACACGCACACGTCAAGAAAAGCGAAAGCACACATAATATATATATATATATATTTATAATATATATATATATATATATATATATATGTTTGTATAATATATATAAATATATATATATATAATATATAGATATATACAGCTACGTATATATATATATATATATGTATATACATATATATATATGCATATATATATATA